AGGCGGCGGAGGCTGAGGCTGTGGGGCCGGCGGCGGAGGCGAGGGCCATGGGGCAGTGCGGCATCACCTCTTCCAAGACGGTCCTCGTCTTCCTCAACCTCATTTTCTGGGTGAGGCCCCCCGCGCCTGAGGCGAACGAACGGCGGTATCCCCCCCTCCCCTCAACAACCCATTTGTTATCTCCTCTTCCCGCCCCTCAGGATCTCACCGTCTGTAAGGAAGGGGTCGTGAGGGAAAGGCGGCCGCGGCCTTTTTTGTTCTCTCCGCCCGAGGGGGTCCCTCCTTTGTCGGCTTCCCCGCCTCCCCCACCCCGGCTTCGTGACCATGTTGGTTGGTGACGCGGTTTCCCTTCCAGCCGTGGGGGTTTCTGCCCTCCCCCCCTCAAGGTTAAAATTATGGGGAGGCAGAAGGAGAGAAGAAAACCACAGAACGAGAGTGTTGCTTATATGACGCCCTCCCTCTCTTCCCCCCCCCCACACGAGAAAAAGCTCAGGCCGGTTTTGTGCGGGGGTTGGTCCGTTCTCACGTTCTGCGCATACCTGCGGAAGACACGCGTCCTCAAGCCTTCGTGGGTGTGGGTGGAGGGTGGAAGGTGGCATTTATTCTCCCCCCACAGTCCTTAATGGGGAGGGGGGGTTACTAGCGAAGGAAGGGGAGTTCTGGCCTGGAGGGTCTTCTCCCTGTTGCCTGTGTGCTCCGCTGGTGCAGGGGGTAATAAAAGGGTGAAATTAGCAATATAATAAGGCCTACTAATACTATGGAGCAGATACCGCACAGAAGAACTTTTTCAAAAGGTTCATGCTCTGTTTTCCAAAGAGATGGAAACTACTGTATTAATAGAGAGGACAAAGGGATTTGAAAGGTTTGGGTATGTGAGGGGGGGGACCGGCCTCTGTTGGGCCTCCTTGGTGGGATGCGCTGCTTCTCTTGGGGCATCAGAAGGACAGTGTTCTTACAGCTGCCTCTCCAGCACACACACACACCCCACCTCCCCACTGTGTCCTTGCCACTCTCTTTGATGACCCAGATTTGACAAAAAAAAGGGAGGAGGGCAGGAAAAAGCCCGTCTGGAGAAGATATCGGTGGAGGAGGGAGTTTAAAAAGCCCTTTAAAGTAGGCTAGCCAAGGCATGGGGTTTTGTGAAAATTGCAGATCTGCAAAGCCGGTTTTGTTCCATTTAGTAGCCAAATGGAGCTGTCATGGGGGATGATCTAATTCAAGATGATGAGCTCAGATGTAATTTGGGAAACTGAGCAGCACAAATCCTTTTTTTTCTTTCTTTCTTTAAATTTTCCATCTTCTCTCACTTGTAACCTTGGCTACTGCCTCCATCCCCCCCTCCAAAAAAAAAACAAACCTTTAGCTTAAGCCTCCTTTAAGAGCAGGACTTCTCTTGAAAGGCAGGTGGTGGATGGATCCCTCCTTCTTAAAGCTGCATGTTTAGACATGCACTGGGTTCATGCTTGAAGCAGGTCAGCCTTCCAACACTTTAATTCGGTACCCCAAATGTGTGCGCGTGTTTGTGGGTAAGGTTCACAGGGATGGACCTATTTTGGTTAAATGGCATCTTATAGGTGGTATTGAAAATATGCCTATGTCCAAACAGGAGGTCAACAAGCAAAACAGTGACAAGAAACAAGGCGGTAGAAGAATAAATTTTCTTCTAGTTGAACAAAGTCTGGCTTTTGTGCTGTGCGCTATCATGCCTCAGATTATACTCAGTCCCTTTTTACTCCTTAAATGTGTTACGTTATTATGACTGTTTCTAAATAGAGGATAAGGAACAATGTATTGTAGACAGTGGTGTTTGGGGTGGAAAATGGACAGAGGCAGTGAAGTCAGCCATAAGGAACTCATTTGAAGTAATCCTGGCTCCCCCTTCCTCTGCCCATTTGGCTTCCCAGTTTATTCCCCATTATTGGAGAAGGGGAAGATAAACCTATTGTGGTTGCTTAGCAACCACCATATCACATTCTGAGGAATATGTGTAGTGAGTTCTGAACTAGAGAAATATGAATAAATAGCTAAAGGATGTGGAATAGGGGCCAGACTGCTCAAATTTCTTGAGGCTGGCTGTGTAGACAACTTATGTGAGTCTGTGTCTCAAATACATATCCTTTTCTTGGAATGTAAGTGTTAAAATTGTGTATATAGGTTATTAGAGCAGTAGTTTAACAAATACCTGTGGAAGGTGGAAAAATAGGCAGCTAACAGAAACGTGTACATGAGATCAGCAAACTCTAACTGAAGTAAAAGAAATACAGTGCAAGAACATCATGGCATGTACTGGATAGCATTTCAGAGTTGATGGGCTGGAGTTCAAATTACTGTAGTGCCAGGTGCATTATCCCAGCTGTTTAAAAATTAGCTTTTGGAAGGGATTAAGAATGTGGTAATATTATATTATACACAAAAATAACATTGCTATGAATAGTACTGTAAAGAAGATCAGTTGTTGCTCATGTCCATCGCATTCATTATTGTTTGGAAGTTCTCTTATACCTTTTTCTTCTGTTTGTTTTAATTTTGATATAATACAGTGATATTTATTGATATACAATATCTGGTTGTTGTTTTAGAACATGACTGTAAAGTTTTGAATTGTAATGACACCATTTGAAATTGTGGAGGGTAGAGGGAGGGATAAAAAGTACTCTTATCCATACTTTCTATCAGAATTTATTAGATGCCATGCATTATCTGTAGTAAGATACAAAGCATATCTGATTGGCTTATAACATAATCATGTAGCTGGAATTTAATATATTACTCTCAATTAATTTTGCTCTTTAATAAGCACTAGCTAATTAGCATTAGCTAATTAAAGTATTCTGTGTAAGATTTGCGTACGTTGCAAAAGCAGAAGAATAGCTGGAAACTCAGGATATCCATATAGGAACTTTGTGTGACATCCAGTTCTATTTTTAGATCAGAGTAATTTTGGGTGCAGTTGAAATAAAATAGAAGGACTGTTGTTTTTAATGGGAAGGTCTGCTTGAAAAGATGCCTAGGTACAGGTAAAAGTTAAAATACTGTGTATGTAGCTGTAGTGTAGGTCATAAGAGTTTGCAACAATGGATGTGAATAGAAAATTAATTTAAATAGCCTTAAATCAAACTGAAATACTGATTGTGTGCATTTGAAGCAGTGGGGGAGCCCAAATTGGAAAGCAGTAGGATTCAGGAGTACTTATTGTGCTACATTTTGTATTTTTTTTTTTATTTGAAGACCATCAAAGCCCAGTTATCTGTGAATTTCGAAAAGAAGAATAAGAGCCCATCACTTGGGTTGCATCATTTTAAAGATGGTGAAAAACGTACTGATTACTGTTGCTGGGATGTTAAATAGGGGTTGTGCCAAAATATTTACAAAATACCACCCCTTTGAGTTAAGGCTGTTGCATTCAGATACTGTGAATATTTATTTTGGGAGTCAAAAGACTACGGCTAGTGTATACTACTTGGTAACAGAACCTTAATATTGCCAAAGACTAAGGATTTTTTTAAAAACTGTTCTGTATACAGTACTTGCTTAGTGTTGCAATCCTTCACCTAGGAGCAAATATAACATGTAAAATAACAGTTGAAACCGATTGATGGTTTGATCATTGAGTAAGAAAGTTATGCAGTTCATATCCATTTATAATAAGAAATTTATCACTTGGAAGATTTTAGAACCAAGGGTCATGAATTTAACTGGCAGTAGCTATAGCCCAGAGGGGGGAAAATGTGTTCCCACAAGTTACAGTACATGGAATTCTCTGTCCCGTGACAAACTGAAGACGAATAATGTAAAATCCAAAACAAAATAGTGTAAGAACTGCAATATATTAAAGGTGTGCATATTATCTCATTTTGTTTACAGCTCTTTTGTAGTTATTTGTTTCTTCTAATGATGGGTTACTGAATATAATGGTCAACAATTAAAAGGATGGTTTAAATCCTTTATTTCTGCACTTGTTAGAAGCTAAGTTGTATGAGTGTAGGAAACAGAATGCTGAATCTGACAGACGTGAGCCTGATCTAGCAGGTCTCCTTTCCATATCCTTCTGAATTGAGATTGATACTGCAAAATGTAAAATATTATCCGTAATACTTTGTCAAATAGTGTGTTTTCATTCCTCCCTGTCCCCTTTGTTCTACCCACTGTGCCTTAATTTACTCTGTGAGGCTCTAGGGCTTCACACAGCATGATGCAAGTTTCATAAGAAACTTGATTTAAGATATCTATGATGTCACTGAATCCTACAGAATCTCTAACCATACTTGAGCCACACATCCCATCCTTCTCTGGGCTGCCTTTTCACCACACAGGGAAATAACTGGCCCTAGATGGTGCCCTCTGGATGTGTTAAGACTTCAGGTTGAGGAAGACACTGGCAGAACTAAAAGGATCAAAACATTTAAGTAGTTGCTAGTGTATATGTGGATAGGCTCATCTTCTTTCTGTTTTTTGTTTAGCATTTTAAACATGGCTTTGCATAGATTAGCTGAATAAGATGCGGTTATTAGGTACCTGAAGCTTTGAATTATTACTGAAGTAGAAACTTGAGATCTGCGGCTAATGTTCCCTTTCAAACCAGTGTAATTTGAATGTTGTTTGAGAGAGATGAAACTCTTGAGGTGCAACGGTGAACTGCAGTTGCTTGAAATGAAGCAATAAATATATTAATCTAGGGAACTTTTAAGAGTTTGTTCCTGCTGCAGCCTTGAGTTACATAATTTCATCTTTGAACTTTCTGCAACCCAGCGTAAGCTTTGTTGTTCTTTTACAGTTCAAGGAATATAGTAGCCCAGAAGAGTCAGTTCACAGAACCAGGTGACTTGGTGAAAACAATAGATTGGGGTCATTGTTAGGGCCTTCTCTTAAGAAGAGACACCTTTCTTGTTCTCTCTTCCCCTTCACATATTGGTTTGTAGTTTCTCGGCCCATAGGTCTCTCGTCTAGGGTTAGAGGCATTGTGTTTCTGAATGGCAATCACTGCCTAACCCAAGATAGGGGAACAAAAAAAATGGCCCCCTCATCTCCTGGCTTATAGGCTTTGCAGAGATGTCTAGTTGGGAAACCAGGATTTTGGACTATACAGGACTTTAGGGAGGGCTTCTAACAA